TCCGCTCCTTGAGTTCTCTCCAGCGCTGGAAAGCTGATCTGATATTTACACGGGTCCTACTTCTTGCCTTATCGTTAGCCTTCTTTTGTTCCGCAGACGTTTTCCTCTCTTGTTTTTTTATCCGCCATCTCGATCTTTCTGTCGCTCGGCTCGGCTAATGTCCGTCCTGTGAACGGAGCTCTCTCTCCTCCACATCATGAGTAGACACGCCCCTTACTGCTGATTGGCTACAAGTTTGTTTTGGTACTCAGCCCGACTCAGTTTTCTAAAGCGTTTTTGAAAAAATACATACCTCACCTTTAAATAATTTTTATAAAATAACTTCTTTTCTGTTTTAATAGATTTTAAAATTTTAAAGCAGCCATTACTCCAGTCTTCAGTGTCACATGTCAAGAATAATAAATTATTATAATCATTGCTGAAAATTATACTGTTATACTGCTTAATATTTTTGTGAAAACAACATTTTGGGATACATTTTTAACACCAATCTTTGATGAATGTTTAATATTTCTTGATCAGTTCAATAGAACAGCATTTATTTCAAATAGATTTTTTTTGTAACACTATAATGTATGTCTTTGCTGTCACTTTTGAGCAAAATGTATCCTTGTTATTTTTTTTTTTAATGATAAAATTACTGACCCCAAACTTTTGAACAGCAGTGTAGACGTCAGTGCTAAATAATTTTACTACTTTGATTTCAGTGAATGTTGCCATTATGGTTCCTGGGTGCTGTGGTAACTTCTAATACCACCTGGTAAAATAAAAAATATCCTATTTGTTTCTTCATTTAGTCCTTTTTGTAAAGTTTCAAACAAAACATGCTTTCTTGGGAATGCTGTTACGGTTGCCAAATTTTAATTGATTTTAAATTATTTTACACTTTTGTAAAAACTTTAACAAAAGTCAAGTCACCTTTATTTATATAGCGCTTTATATAACACAGATTGTGTCAAAGCAGCTTTACAGTGTCAAACCGGGAAATAGTTGGTCAATAATGCATTAGGACAATAACAGTCAATTTTTCAGTTAAAGTTCATTGTTGATTCAGTAACGTCATCACTGACTCAACGCTTAGTCACTGAATCAATGCTTAGTCACATAATCCTCTGGGAAGTGACATCAATTTGGTGGGAAAACCCAAGAAATGAATTTGATGAACTTTGTGCATGTTCATTAAAAGTAACAGTAACCAACCAGCTGATGATCTCAAACACAATCTAAGTCTCAAAATGCATAAACCACATAGATGTGTGATTTACAGTAGGGCTGGGTTTTGAAACAAATTTCACAATTCGATTCTCATTCCCAAGCTTGCGATTTGATTCGATTCAATATCGATTATTTTGGATATATATATCAGGTACACATGCCAAATTTTCTTAAGGAAAAAAATTCTTAACTAATGCTGTAAAATATACATGAGAGTCAGTTGGTACTACATTACTATAATATTGAAGGTTAAAACTGACTGATTTTTTTAGGCTATACAACTGCTTTAATTACACTTAATGAAGTTTTTATAATAAAAGTTAATTACATAATATTTCTGCTTCAATTCGCTTTTTTTTTCTTTTTCTTTTAAATATAACCATTTAAATTGTGGCTGTCAAAAAAAATATAAATTAAACATTGAAAAACAGTAAAAAATTATATTGAATATATTATATGGTGCATATTTAGCAAAATGCCCCTCTCTACAGTTTATTTTTCTAGCTGACTAATGAGTTTATGATCACCGAATATGTTTTTTCTGAGGTAAATGTGACGTTACGTGACATACTGTGTACAAGCCGTTATATTGACGTCTTTGCGCGGCTGAAACACTGATTTAACGATTACATGAGACAGGCTACGGATTGTAAAGTTGTACTCTTTCTGTTAGCTCACCTTCAGATGTTTAGTCATGTTTATTTTGGAGGAGATGATCAGTTCACGTGCGCTACGTGGTGCCGCTTTTATTGAACTGAGGCGCTACAGCGATCTGTCACTTCACATTAAACACCAAAACAGCATTTATTGTTTAAATACTGCAATACAATGGACAGAATTTGAAATCTGAGACTTTTTCATATTAAAAGTACCAAAGCACAATGCTTATTGTGATATATTGGATAGGAGGTGCCCTTCAATGTTCCGTCCATTAACTGAAAACAGGTTAGACTAATCGATTCTTGGGATTTAAGAATCATTATCGTTTCGTAAAAGTGAGAATCGATTAAAATCGAGATATCGATATTTTTTTTTACCCAGCCTTAGTGAATAGTATCTCATTTACCTCCGCTGCAGCTCTAGCTCCTCCTCAAAGACGCCGAAAGGTCGGAGCGTCTCTGTCAGCTTCCGCGCGAGAACCAGATCGGCCTCTTTAGGTAGTGCCAAGCTGATAGGAGATGTGATCCCATAATGCTTTGGGGTCTGCTGGGCTGTTTGCACCTGACTGGTAATTGGACTGTGAAAAGGTCAAACATGAATTGTCAGACTCAACAGAAACATAACGTGATCACAGGAGCTGTTCACATCTCTGTAGAGCTCAAAATTATTATTATAATAACAAATTACTGGAATGTTATGAAAATTCAGCATTCAAACACCTGACCATGGTGATGTCAAAAAATACAAAAGTCTAATAAAATAAGTTCAAGATAGTTAGGAAGCTACCTTTACACATACAATTAATTCTTTAATACTTTGCAAGAGAATATAGAAATCCATTTGTTTTGATTTCTATATTCAAAACTCAGTTTGGTGGAGACATTTCCATGTAAACGACCACTTTGTGACTTCTAAGTGCACAAAGTATGACAAATATTTTGAATAACAGACTGTGTGACCGTTGTCTTTGGGGCGTTCACATGAAGCGTAATATTTTAACATGAAGCGTAATATTTTAATAGCTTCTATTGTTTATGTGTTAAGCCTCGCTGTTTTTCTTAGGATCGCGCGCAATCCGCGTCCGCCATATCATGATAAAAATAGGCTAGTTCAGCTTTTATAAACGCTTTTGTTCTGTTCGGCTGCGCTTCGTCTAACGTTAGTTGTTTAGTACGCTAGAACGCGTCTTGTGTGAACGCCCCCTTGAAGGGTATTAGTATGAAGTAACTGAACTACATCTATACGTGCACTAAGTTAACAGTTAACGTTACATATCTAAACAAAGTTCAGCAACCACTGAATGATACAGATTTAAAATCTAATCATACAAACCAGCGTGCTTACTATGAGCCCGATTTCTACTTCTGATGGCCTGTTGATCATTTTATTTCATTACCTGCTGCATAATGGCAAGTTAATTTCGAAATTAATGCAATGTAAACTAGTTCAACAACGAAACAGCATCGTTAAATGCTTTGATAAACGTGTCGAGTTTGCGACCGATTCGTAACATAAGGCCCAAGACCTCGCGTTTGCTTTGATCACGCTTGTCTTCAAACTCCGACGAGATACTTACAAAGGCATTATGAAAATCTCCGGCTTATGAGAAGCTGAGAAGCAGGTTATATTCCGCCATTGCGTTCCAGCCTGTCATGAACTGTTATGAAGGCAATGGAGTTGTTTCTTTTGTTTGAACCAACATGGCGCTCCGGCAACAGCAACTGCCAATTGGTACAGGAAGTGACGCCATGACGCATCCCTCGCTGACGCAGTTGACCTGCGTCTTGTTTTTCTAACCTATTTTGAAAGATTTCTATTTAAAGGGACAGCAACTAGCTAAAAATCTTATATATATTTTCCAATAACATTGTCACGAACATTTCAAAACATTTCTCCATTAAATTACATTTAATATTTTATTCCTTATAGCATAGCTGCACCTTAAGCTATTTTAATGCTTTTTATTATTTATTTATTGATTTATTAATTCATTAGACATCAGTTTGAAATTGAAAATAACTTTTTTTTACAGCACACCATTGAAACATTTAGCATTTCCACTGTTTCACGTATTATTTTTTGCCATACTGACTATATTAGTGCTGTCAAACGATTAATCACGATTAATCACATCCAAAATAAAAGTTTTTGTTTATATATGTGTACTGTGTATATTTATTATGTATATAAATACACACAAATGCATGTATATATTTAAGAAAAATATAAAGTAGCTTGACCACTGGAAATGTACCAAATTATATAATATATTATAAACTTAATAACTTGGTCAAATTACAAAGCAAAGATGAGCATGTGATGTAGTCCCCAGTGGGGAGGTGGTTCTTTAATGTGAAAATAATTACTTGTGAATCTTTAACTAGCACCTGTTTTCACTTAAATAGTGTATAAAAAATACAGTAAGTCATTAAATAAAGACACAGAAACGCATCCTTAATGAAATAACTTATTTTTATTGTACATTTAAACTACAATAGCAGAGTGAGCTAATCATCTGAGTTGTTCCTGAAGAGGTATTCAGCCTGAAATGGAGTAAAGAAAATATGACACAAAGTAAACAGAAATAATATGTTGTTAAATAGAACACGTGATATGAAGTCTATGAGAAGTGTTACCAAAAAGTCCACAGGGTCATCAGGCTTGACCTTACAGCAGTCCATCAGTCCTTGTATGACAGTAGGCATGACGTATTTCATCAGGTAGTGTCTCATGGGGACAGATCGTGTCTCTAATAGCTCATGTTCCTGCTTCTTCACCTCGGCCATGTTCCTGTTCTGAAAATATATATCAACAAGCTGAACAATGTAGTCGTTACTAGGGTAACAGAAGGCTTTTGCTTGTGTGAGGTCAGATTTATTTATTTTTTGAAAATAAACTTAATAATTATATTCAGCAAGGATGCATTAAATTGATAAAAAATTACAGAAAAGACTTGTACATTGTTACAAAAAAATTAATTTCAAATAAATGTTGTTCTTTTTAACTTTCTATTTATCAAAGAATCCTGAAAAAAATGCATGTTTCCCTGAATCCTAAAAAAATGCATCACGGTTTCTACAAAAACAGTTAAGCAGCACAACTGTTTTCACTGATAATAGTAAGACATGTTTTTGAGCAATGAATCAGCATATTAGAATGAGTTCAAGAATTATGTGATACTGAAGACTGGAGTAATGATGCTCAAAATTCAGCTTTGCATCACAGGAATAAATTACATTTTAAAGTTATTAAAATAGAAAAGAGTTATTTTAAATCGTAGTAATATTTCACAATATTACTTTTTACTGTTTTTAATTAATTAAATAAAGCCAATGTGAGCATAAGAGACTTTGCTCAAAAACATTATAACAATCTTGCCGACCCCAAACCTTTGTACACATTGACTTAAAGGAGACATATTATGCCCCTTTTTACAATATGTAATATAAGTCTCTGGTGTCCCCAGAAGGTGTATGTGAAGTTTCAGCTCAAAATACTCCACAGATCATTTATTATATCATTTTGAAAATGCCTATTTTGAGTGGAACCAGAAACACGCTGTTTTTTTCGGGCCTGTCTCTTTAAATGCAAATGAGCTGCTGCTCCACGCCCCCTTTTCCAGAATAGAGCTGCACCATTACAGCTCGTACCTGCTAAAAAACATCTGTTGGTTCTGATTATCATGTTAATCGCGCTGAAATCATGCGTTTTAAACCATACGAGTTTAAACTTCTGATATACGGTTATGTACAGTATGTGGAAAATAATGTGTTTTTTTTACTTTAAACCGCATAAACACATTTCATTACACCAAATACACAAAATAATGTTCTTTTTAGCAGCATCATATGACCCCTTTAAGGGGTGGTAATATTATAATGAGATCCCTTTGCCACGTCACCAAGTGAGCAAAATCAAACGCGCTCGTTTTCTCAGACGCTTGCAGAAAAAGGCTTCCCAAAACAAAGTTACTGGGTTAATCTTTTTCACATTTCCTTGGTTGGTAGATGCACTGGGGACCTGATTATAGCACTTAAAACCTGGAAAAGTCAGATTTTCATGATATGTCACCTTTAAAGCTATTATAAAACGTGTGGTCACCAAATACTGATATTTTACAACCAATACATAAATATTACAGGAAAACAAAAAACAGTTGAATTCTCCTGGGAGAACTTCACTTTTCTATTATATTTGTGGGTAGGGGTGTGCGATATATATCGTCTGCGATAATATCGTAATTGTTGTTTTAACGATGTGCGATTTGACATTATTGAGTATTTTGCAAAAACCATTCAAAACATCCCTACAGAGCGCATTACGTGAAGTCTAGACTCAATTCCCTGATTAAATGTAAGAATTTGACTCAAAAGATAATGGACACTTTTAGAAAAAATGGCTTTATAAAGGTTAAAATGCCCATAAAATGCAAAAATCAGTTTAAACTTATTGGATTTCAGTACTTATCAGTATGAACTGACCACCACACAGAATATGAAGAATATTAAAAACATTAGGAGTCAGCTGTCTTCGGCAGTCCTTAAGGTACCAGCACAATAACACACTCAGCAAAATATCGTCTAATTATCGTTATCGATAAAATCCCATAAAATATCGAGATATAATTTTTTGTCAATATCGCACACCCCTATTTGTGGGTCACCTGTAGTATTAGGGTTGGAGCAAAGGATTGATGTTTTGTTTTAACATTAGGTCAAATTTACCCATTCCTCCAAAAGAGCAGTCATTTTATCATTCTCCAATCTCTGCCTGAGTTCCTTCTCAACTTCCTCCTGTTTCAGTTGCAGGTGCCGCTCATCTTCTTTCCTCTTCCTCTCTTCCTCCATTTCCTCTGGACTCAGACCGTAGTTCTTCGGACGCCCCACTGTCTTAATGATCTTCTCCACTGTGTCCACATTCTCACAGTCTGAAAATGACAACATGAAAATGCTATTCTCAATAACAATACCGCCCTGCTTCATAACAACCAGCTTATCTGTCAATTCACTTTGAATAGAGAAAGTTGTACTTTGATAGAATACAATTTTCTTATGTGAGCACAAAAAAATAAGTATGATAGTTTGGGTTCTAACCAATGTGTTCCGGGTGGATTTCCAGGTAATCGAAATAGTCAAGCACAGACTCGTCTTCTGCCAAAGTCTCCCTAAATTTGGCAAGACTCGCTGTAAACTCATCTTGAGTGTAATGCATCTCTTCTGCCACATTCTGTGGAAGACTCCGAACACGCTCTTTCAGAAACTCATCAGTGGCATCCAGCGAGATGACGAAGTCTGTAGGTGAAAAGACCTGTGGTTGTTAACATGTACAGTAATAGCATTCGCCAACCCAATTTTACTTCCATGATGTGACACATACATAGTACAGTGCCATTAAAAGGTTTGGGGTGAGATTGTTTAATGTTTTTGAAAAAAAAAAGTCTTTCATGCTCACTGAAAGCTGCATTATTATTTTTTTATTTTTAACAGTAATATTTGAATTCATATGACAGTTTTCTATTTTTATATATTTTGTAAAAATGTCATTTATTCCTGTGATGGTGAATTTTCAGCAGTCATTACTCCAGTCTTCAGTGTTACAGTACATGATCCTTCAGAAATCATTCTATTATGCTGATGATTTGGTGCTTTTCAGGATTGCAGAATAGAAAAACAGAAGAATAAAAAAAAACGAACACTAGCTTCTCTAATCCTTTTGTATTCTATCTATTTGTTTTCTTTTTATTTATTATACAATTAACAAAAAGCAAAAAAAAGGCCTCTAACACTAGCTTGCTCTATTATTTTTCTATTCTATCTGTTTTCTTTTTATTTATATAATAATAATAATAAAAAAGACCTTGCTACATGTGCTGTTTTAGGCTAACTGAGACTTGTTATAGCACTTGTAGACTTTTAATGTATCCTGGCTGGATTTTTATTTATTTAAAAAAACAACTATGAAGAGTAGTATTTCCAGGAAACAAACAAGACATAGAAGCTGAAAGAGCATCTCAGTGATTATAATTATTTCCCAATATATCATTATTATTGCCATAACCCTTTATTATGTGAACATTAACAACAAGCATTAAATTATTGTTTTAATTATATTACTAAGATGTTTGGAGACTGCATCATGTTATGTTATTTTTTTTATTTTTTAAACAAAAGAATAGAAATACGTCTGTATGCAGGTTAAGAATCGAAATATCTCTGTATGTAGGTTCTGAGATTTCTAACCTGGAACCAACACTTTGCTATATTGGGGTATTGTCGATCTTGTGTCTTCTACTTCCATGTTTTCATCTGGAAAACATTTCAGAAGTTACAGGTAAATACATTTTTTCCATTTAGGGGTTTTTGTTTCAAAGAATATAGCTGACCATGGAAAAGCTCTTTAGCCTGTGTATAGGTCTTTGGGTAACCATCCAGAACAAATCCTTGATTTCTGCAAGGCTTTGAGTTTAGCTTCTCTCTTATGATATGCATTACATGACGATCGTCCAACTGACCTGTCAGAAAACATCATAAAAACTGGAATAAGTAACACTGGCCATATCAGATTTATTACATATATCTGTAATAAATCCACCGTCATACAATAGCATTTTCCGAACAATAACAAACGATGTCTTTAGTCACATAAAAATGGATAACGTCAAAGCATAATTGAATGCATACCATCATTCAGAAGCATGTTGTTCTTTAGCGTTTTAAGCTGCGCTTCAGCACTAATGAGCATTTCCTCGTTCTCACTCGT